TAACAAATATAAATGTAAAGTATTGTGTCAATTATTTAACTTTACTAGTTTGTCAATAAGTGACTCACAACGAATAAGTTGTTTTAACTTACAATTTAGAGTGGACCTCCTGGGACATGCAAAAAATGTTAAAATTAACATTTTTTTTTTTACTGTGTAATGTAACGATTGTGTATATATATATATATCTATATTGTCTCTTGCGTACATATATCTATATCGAATCGCGAAATTGAAAATTACACACACGGTTTAAAAAGCTTTGTTAGATTTATTACTCTTTCCTTGAAATCGTATTTTTCCTAGTAAACAAGGTTCTTGACGTGGCGTTTGTCTCAGCTCGATTTCTCATTAATGATGCTTATATTTAGCGCTAAACGCGCAGCGGCAAATGGCGGCCTCTGTTTGTTTCGTTCTCTCAATATCGCGTGTAATCTGCACAAATGAACAAACAATCGCGGCAAATATCTCAATGTCATTTGTTTGCCAGTTTCTCGGTTAGCTTGTTGTTTCGCCATCACTCGTCACTCTCTTTCTCTTTCTCGCTCTCGTCAACTCTCTTGTTGTTATGTACGTTACATGTTACGTATACACATTTACGCACGCGCGTGTGTGTGTGTGTGTGTGTGTACAATCACGGGAATAACTACGGACCGGGTTCCTGTAGTTAGTTTTCCTATATTTCTCTCCTTTGTGGCGAGAACCGCGCGAGCCCACAGGCAGGAAGAAACTTTCTTTCACGGTCCTGCACTTACGTGTCGTCCGTCTTTAGCTCCGGCGAATCAGACTTAATGACTACTAACCGCTTATTGGCATACGGCGCGGAGCTGAGAGTTAGGTCGTTTGAGTCGAGACTACGTTTGGCAACGAGTCGTGATACTCTGCGCTCTCCTCGCTTCGCAACAACTGATGCCTCCTCTTCTCTTGCTGCAAGCCGGGCGAAAGGGAAAGGTCTCCCCGATCTCTTGGATTGTAGCAAGAAGATGTGCATACTGACTTCATCCGCTTGTCGTTCGTTCGCAAGTGTGCGTTGTTCAGAGTCGAAGTCTCTCGACTCTGTTTTTTTCATAATCGCATCACGACGATCGAATATAATTCGATAGATTGTTCCTCGATTAACCAGAAAAAAGAAACGACAGAGACTAATTCCACGTTCCGGCTTGATGTAAATCTGTTGTTTGTTTTCTTTCTTGATTTTTTTTTGTTTTTTGTTTTTTTTTTGTTTTTTTTAGTGTGCGTAGCATGAGCTTCAAACTAAAAGCTTTTACACAGCTCACATCCCTAAGCTAATGTATCGTCTAATAACTATTCTCTGTTTGCTTCGCGCGCGCTTTTGGCGTTTGTGTCGTCTCGCTTTCTCAAAGTTCCCAAACTGCATCTCCGCGTTTCGGTACCGCGTATAACTCGACGTCGATTCACAGTAACATCGAACGGTTTGCAGTTGCACGCGATATATAATGTCTTCGCTGATTCACTGCGCTCGCGATATCGAGACAAGCGTGTGTGCTCCTCCTAAACGCGCGTTCCCGCTCCGTCGTCGTTGTCGTCGTTGTCGTCATCATTTGCAATATAACAGTGTAGCGACAACATTACGGGACGTCGCGCGACTTTTGCTGTCTCTGTTGTTGTTGCAATCTCGAGCCACTCGACGGCCAAAATTCTAAATCGACGCACATTGGACTAATCTAGCGCGTCTTTTTAAACGCACACACCAAGTGGACACGACTTGATTCTATTTTGCGCGCTGATTCGCAACTGCATCGCTTCGCGACGAGAGAGATCTCATCCCGACGACCGGATCTCTCTGTGTCTCTTCGATTTTTGCAAAGATCCCCGTCATCATCATATCATCATCGTCATCGCGCGCGTTCGATTCAACTTCGCAGCTGAAGGCTGTACGAGAGAGTTAACGAGCTTCTAATGACAGGGAAGATATCTCAATTTCCTTGACGCTCGTTAATTCCTCGATGCAGGACCGACGGCGCGTACAATTTCAACGTCGTGGGAAAATGACGTCTATTACCGGGAGTTTTATGAATACCACTGCAAACGAGTTCGATATTCGCGGCGCTTATGCATTTGTACGTCATCCTCGACGCGCGTACGTACCCTGACGCGCGATCGATTCGAAGAAATCTCCTCGACCGAATCGCGGCGCGTGCGTTAACTGATAAAATGTTGTTGTTTGACGAGATAAAAAAAAAAAAAAAAAAAAAAAAAAAAAAAATGTCGCGTCAGAAAACGTCGGGAAATTTAAAAATGTCGCGAGCGCGATAGCGACACTATTTATACATCACGATGAAAGGAGACGCGCACGTCT